CCTTTCAGAGCGAATGCAATGATAATGTGGAATTTTGGAGTAAAGGGGAGATAATTACAGCCTTTATACTTGCAACAGGAGTTGCTGCTTCGCAAGCTTTAGCTATGTTGAACAAATTAGGTTGTTGGCTTGCCAAACAGAGCAATGCCACATCTCTGGCTCTATCTAGCCTATTAATGGATGTAGACTTGGTTAGACATGCTGCTTTGCAGAACCGCGCAGCAATAGACTTTTTGCTATTAGCCCATGGCCATGGATGTGATGACTTTGATGGAATGTGTTGTATGAACCTCTCAGATCATTCCCTGTCCATCCACGAAAGCATCCGGAAGCTGAAAGAGGGGGTCGCTAAACTCCAGGAGGATGATGAGTGGAGATGGTTCAGAGATATGTTTGGTGGGTTGGATTTGGGAAACTGGGCAAAGCAGCTGCTGAAGCTAGCCGCAGGGTGCTTACTGATCTTTTTATGCATGTTAATATGCATACCATGCCTTTTACAATGTATGCAGAGAATGGTGGAAAAATCAATAAACACAGTGCTAATTGTTCAACAAAAGAAGAAAGGGGGAGATGTGGGGACTGAAGCAAAAGACAGGTTAAGTGTGGTAGAACTAATAGGCCATAAGCCATGGGAGGAATAAGCAGCTGCAGCACTGTTCTGGCAGACAATGAAGTTGTGTGAAGCTGCTCCCTAGATAAGGAGGTGCTGCTCACAGGGAAGAGAGATTTCCTTCTCAGTGCGAATGTGATCTTTTAGAGTACGTGATGGTGTAAACAAGTAAAGTAGAAAATTACTGGCCTTGGTAGAAAAGTGTATAAAGAGCACGCTTGCTTAATGGAAAAAGATTTTGATCCTGCATGCTGGAGTCCGCGTCTTTCCGTCCGCCACAGGAATGCAAGCTTTATCAGAAATTAAACACCCATGGATCATGGATTATTCTCAATGGTATTCTCATACATTTAAACATGAAAAAATGTTACGTCAACTCTATGAGAAGAGTAATAACTAAAAAAGCTTCACGAAAATGAAGACAGCTTGTTAGCACTTTAAGGAGTGGTAAGGGTGATGGTGGGAACTTCATGAAACATTCACAAATGTTAATTCTTCTATGTACAGAGAGCAACAGGCTAACTTTCCAAACCTTCTTCAGCAGTGTGGATACGTTGGCTAGAGATGCACAGTTTAGCTTTCTGATCCTGAATAGGATTTATGAAGTTATGTCTCAGTGGAAAGAAAATAATCCTGTGTTTTCATTAGAAAACTGAAGAAGAATAAAAGATTAATAAAAAATGCTATTTCACCACCATTTTCAAATCAGAACCATACCTAACACCTAAAGAGAAGACTAGGCTGCCCTAACACCATGGTTTTCATGTTGTGGTCTGCAGACTTCTGTGGCCTGTAGACTAATTCCAGGGAGTCTGTGAAAAGTAACCAATGCAAATATATTGGGTATGGCTGAGATGGAGTTAACTTTCCCCATAGCAGCCCTCAGTGCTGTGCTTTGTATTGGTTGATAACACACCAGTGTTTTGGCTACTGCTGAGCAGTGCTCCCACAGCATCAAGGCTGTCTCTCCAATGTTCCCCCCCTCACCCCCAAAGGCCAGTAGGCTGGGGGTGGGCAAGAGCTTGGGAGGGAACATAGCCAGGACAGCTGACCCAAACTGACCAAAGGGACGTGACACACCATATGATGTCTGCTCAGCAATCAAAGCTAAGTGAAAGGAGGAGGAAGGGAGGCATTCATTATTATGACATTTGTCTTCCAGAGCAACTGCTACGCATACTGAAGCCCTACTTCCCGGGAAGTGGCTGGACATCGCCTGCTAATGGGAAGAAGAGAATAAATCTTTTGTTTTCCTTTGCTTCCATGTGCACTTTTGCTTTATTAAACTCCCTTTATCTTGACCCATGAGGTTTTTTCCATCTTATTTTGTCCCCCCTGTCCTGCTGAGGAAGGGAGTGACAGAGCGGCTTGGTGGGCACCTGGTGCCCAGCCAAGGTCAACCCACCACAGCAAACAAGCCTAACAGTCGGTGTCCACTGCAGAGAGTTTGCATTTCCATAAGGAGAAACATTAAGGATGCACAAATAAAACCACTGGACACCTGTGCTTTTATCTGTCCTTTCCATCATCTGACAGAAGAATTCTGTTTTTCAGATTGATGCAAATGCACATTTATACAGTATACAGTTATTCATCCCATCTATCCCAACTACTTCTCCCCTCAACAGCCTAGAGCATATTATGATGCCTTTAATACAAATTCTAAATTTGCCTTTGTCATTTAAAGATCATAACTCACCACTATACTTCCAGTCTACACCACCTTTTCCAAAATTCTGATTCAGCAAACAATACTCTCATATAATTAAGACATTATTAAAAACAATCAAACAAAAAAACCCTCAATCTAGAAGTGCTTCTAGCTATGTGCCTAGCTAGAAAACTAGAACAAGCAATATGAAAGGCCAATAAAAAGTGAGAAGGGAGCAAGTTATCTGAAATGTCTCTGCTAAAAGACTCACTCCAAATATAGTGTCAGTTAATGTATAAACTTAAGTTTAACACATTGCCAGTAGCAAGTGACCAGTTCTAAACATAAGATCCTAAATTCCCAGCTTCTTTTCTCTTTGTAATTGTTAAAACATACAGTTAACTAAACAAACTTACCATGCAGGTACGAGAGTTTTCTCCTATGAATGAATCTCTTAGCACCTGAGTAAGTTTACTTGCTCTGAATGGTGTATGAGGTTTATTTCGGCCTAAGGCTCTAATGCACTCCTGAAAGAACAAACAGGTTTATATTTATTCAATCCATGTTAAAGAAAACACATAATACAAGTACAATTCAAAATCAGAAAATATATGCCTTAGTTATGTTGCTGTCCTCTAAGATATCATTAAAATTTACTATTAAAACTTGAATTCAAGAAGTGTTAGGCTTTTACCTCTCATTAAGTTTAGTAGAGAGGTAGGAACTTAAAAAAGGCTTAGGAGCCTAAAAACTTTCTGAATCTCATCCAAAATGTTTACATATATTGTATCCAACAACAACAAAAATTTCAATGTTGATGTTAAATCTCTAGACTAACAACTATTTCTGATTATGAGCTGCAAAAGCCTGAATGATCTACCTCTGCCAGCAGAAGCAGCATGGACAGTGACTCGTATTAACTCTATCAGTTAAAAGCGGTAGCTTTGATTCTGGCTCTACTACCGACTTTCTTTCCAGCTCAGAAGAAAACACTGGTGCCCAAACTTTCTGAAAGCTTCCACAGGTCACAAACCTAGTAACTACAGCTCTGTATTGATGAACTCAATATTGGAAGATACTTGAAAATGTAAGTCATTCCCTGTTTTAAAATATTCTTCATGTGAAAAAACAGGGATAACGTCTCCCTTTTCACTCACAAGAAGGGTATGGGGATAAACTAATATTTGCAATTGGTTGGAGAGTTCCAGAGAAAAATACTGTACAGAAGTAAATATTAAGAAATTACTATAGAAGTTACAGCAGCAACTAAGTACAAAAGTGCAAACCAAGATCGCACTAATCAAAACATCACTTCTGCCCACTCAGAGATCTAACATCAGCTAATAAATTACTTCTTACAGAAAGAAAGTTTAAATTTAAATTTCTGTTTTGTTGTTGTTGTCATATTTTTATCATTAATTCCAGTTTCTGGTTTTGCTTTAAAACTTTGTGTACAGGCATCTCTTCAGATTCAGGGCTTCCTTGGTACAATTCTAACATGTATACACACAGAACTTCTTCAAACAACTGCACATCAAAATCTTTTCATATTATAGCTTTACTTTTAGCAGGACTAACAGATGGAATGGCTTTTGTGTTACATGAATAGTTCTACAGTAGTTTAGCTAATCCATCAGCTGCAGCCATATCCTTGTGGCGTTTTGAAATTTCCTAGAAACAGCTTCTTCCAAAAGCCAGGAAGGAAACTGTGGGATGATAATCCAAGAAAGCATTGCAACTGTGAAATAGCATAAAACAGAACTAAATGGGCTCAGAAAAAAACTGCCATGATACAGAACAGAACAAACACAAGGGCTTTAACTGAAGTGATTATTTAAAAACTCACAGGCTGAATTGTATAGAATGGACATAGCTCAGATAAACAGAAGGACTGAAGCTTGCTGAATGTGAAAAATCACATGCAAATGCTAAAAAGGACTCAATACTTATAGGTGAGCAAGGCAGTGCATTCCTTGAAATTTTTTAATTTCTTTGTACATTACTACTATACTTAAATAGAGAAAAGCAGATTAGACAGAAAGAGGAGCAACAGTTTTTAAACAAGTGACATTACAAACTAAAAGCAGTAACAAATGTGTACGTTGAATTACTGATATGGCAACCAACAAGTTTAATTAAGATATTTTAAGAAAGAGCTGGCAGATCTTTAAGGATGCTTTCCTTAGAGCACAAGAGCTCTCGATCCCCAGGTGTAAGAAATCAGGCAAGGAAGGCAAGAGACCAGCATGGCTGAGTTGAGACCTGCTGGTCAAACTAAAGGGCAAGAAGGAAAAGGGCAATGGAAGCAGGGACAGGTATCCTGGGAAGAGTACAGGGAGTGTACACCAGAGTGCCTGGTTGTGTAGGGATGGGGTCAGGAAGGCCAAGGCACAGCTGGAGCTGAACTTGGCAAGGGACACAAAGAATAATAAGAAGGGCTTCTACAGGTATGTCAGCCAGAAAAGGAAGGTCAGAGAAAGCGTCACCCCCCTGATGAACACGACTGGCAAACTAGTAACAACAGGCGAGGAGAAGGCTGAGGGACTCAACAATGTTTTTGCCTCAGTCTTCACTGGCAAACCCTCTCCCCACACCTCTCGAGTGGATGGACCTCAGGGCAGGGACTGGGGAAGCAAAGTTCTTCCCACTGTAAAGAAAAGATCAGGTTCGCGACCACCTGGGGAACCTGAACATACAGAAGTCTATGGGACCTGACACGATGCATCCCAGAGGGTGGTATAGGAGCAAAGCCACTCTCCATGATATTTGAAAAGTCATGGCAGTCAGGTGAAGTCCCCGGTGACTGGAAAAAGGGAAACATCGCACCCATTTTTAAAAAGGGTAGAAAGGAGGACCCTGGGAACTACCGACCTGTCAGCCTCACCTATGTGCCTGGGAAGATCATGGAACAGATCCTCCTAGAATCTATGCTAAGGCACCTGGAGGACAGGGAGGTGATTCGAGACAGCCAGCATGGTTTCACCAAGGGCAAATCCTGCCTGACCAGCCTAGTGGCCTTCTATGATGGAGTGACTACATCAGTGGACAAGGGAAGAGCTACACATGTCATCTATCTGGACTTTGGCACAGTCCATCACAACACCCTTCTCTCTAAATTGGAGATATATGAATTTGATGAGTGGACTGTTCGGTGGATGAGGATGTTGGATGGTCGCATCCAGAGGGTAGTGGTTCACAGCTCAATGTCCAGATGGAGATCGGTGACAAGTGGTGCCCCCAACCTAACATCTTCATCGGTGACATAAACAGTGGGATTGAGTGCACCCTCAGCAGATTTGCAGATGACAGTAAGCCGAGTGGTGCGGTTGACACATCTGAGGGACAGGATGCCATCCAGAGGGACCTGGACAGCCTCGAGAAGTGGGCCTGTGTGAACCTCATGAGGTTCAACAAGGCCAAGGGCAGGGTCCTGCACCTGGGTCGGGGCAACCCTGGGTATCAGCACAGGCTGGGGGATGAAGGGGTTGAAGACAGCCCTGCCGAGAAGGACTTGGGGGTACTGGTGGATGAAAAGCTGGACATGAGCTGACAATGTGCACTCGCAGCCCAGAAAACCAACTGCATCCTGGGCTGCATCAAAAGAAGCATGGCCAGCAGGTCGAGGGAGGTGATTCTGCCCCTCTACTCTGCTCTCGTGACACCACACCTGGAATAGTGTGCCCAGTTTTGGAGCCCTCAGTACAAGACAGACATGGACGTGTTGGAGTGGGTCCAGAGGAGGGCCACACAAATGGTCAGAGGGCTGGAGCACCTCTCCTATGAAGAAAGGCTGAGAGAGTTGGGGTTGTTCAGCCTGGAGAAGAGAAGGCTCCGGGGAGACCTTATTGCGGCCTTCCAGTACCTAAAGGGAGCCTACAGTAAAGATGGGGACAAACTTTTTAGTACGGCCTGTTGCGATAGGACAAGGCATAATGGTTTTAAACTAAAAGAGGGAATATTTAGACTAGATATAAGGAAGAAATTTTTTACAGTGAGAGTGATGAAACACTGGAACTGTTTGACCAGAGAGGTGGTAGATGCCCCATCCCTGGAAACATTCAAGGTCAGGCTGGATGGGGTTCTGAGCAACCTGATCTAGTTGAAGGTGTCCCTGCTCATTGCAGGGGGGTTGGACTAGATGACCTTTAAAGGTCCCTTCCAACCCAAACTATTCTATGATTGTATGATCTTAATTTACTATAATGATTTTTAGTTTGCTCACTCTTGAAACATTAGAATTTGATTGTCTCCTTAATAGTAAAAGGCTTATAGGAGGACACTGCCAGCTTCTAAATTAACAGAGTATTTAACTACTTTTGCTTTTCATCACAGCTCAGAAAACCAGGTAAAAAAATGACAACACTACTTCTGTGTAGACATTACAGAAATAATTGCCTGTACGAAAAATCTGAACACGTTAAGACAGGACATGCAAATTGCAAGTCTTGGATTAGCACTAAAACCCACTCCTCAGAACATACTAGTTTAATTTGAACTTGACAATAACTTCAAGGATCTTCAATACAAATGGAAAAAGCTGTGTGATGTTTTTTGGAATAGATGAAAAATGGAAAATTAACATATCGTTCAGAAACATTTATATCTTCTTTTACTGCTGTTTAGACCTCGCAAGACCTTCACTTATTTTTATTTCCCCTTTCCCATATAATTTAGATCACAACCACCAGTACAGGAGTAGCAGAGCCTTTCACTATAATTAAAAAGACAAGGTGTATGAAAATGAACTAAGTACGTTGTATGGGTAGTGTACTGAAGGCACTAGTCAGCACAAAATAAGCAAGTAAACTACAAAACCAGAACAGCTTTATTAAATTACATTTGGAAGCAAGTGATAACATTAACACATTGTTGTTTGCATTATTTATGGCTTTAAAATTGTCTTTCCTGTACAGTTTCCTAGTCACCTTGAGCAGCATCACAATACGCCTAAACACACAACCTCTTCTTGCCCAGAAAAGCCAGTCTTATTAAAAATAATCCCCCAATCCATGCTTCAACAGGTAATACATAATGACAACTGACACTACGCCACTGCCCCTAAGAGCTGCATGCTCCCACCCAGCCTGTCACCCTCCTTGCCTCACATCTCCTTGCCTCCACTTTCAGTTTCATACTGAAATCAGTACGATAGGCAGTAAGTCAGAGTCAAGAAATTATGGCTCCCAATCCCTACAGGCTTTCTCTATCTATATACATATATATAGAGAGAGAGCAGCCCTGCAGAGAAGGACTTGGGGATACTAGTGGATTAAAACTTTGAACATGAGCCGGCAATGTGCGCTCGCAGCCCAGAAAGCCAACCGTATCCTGGGCTGCATCAAAAGAAGAGTGGTCAGCAGGTTAAGGGAGGTGATTCTGCCCCTCTACTCCGCTCTCATGAGACCCCACCTGGAGTACTGTGTTCAGCTCTGGGGCCCCCAGCATAAGAAAGACATGGACCTGTTGTGTGGAATAATTGGACCTGCTCAAGCAGGTGTGGAATAATTGCTAGAGGTGACTTAGAAATTAAACTTATATTCATATTTTAAGGAAAGGTACAGCATCAAAGAAACTTTCAGGGCAGAGTGCAGCTGGTGTGCAAAGGATACATTCCACAGAGGTTCCCTAGGCAACCTTAGATGTTGGTGACATCGGGGGAGCCTGATGTGCTGACTCTAAGAGAAACTGGGCAGGGGATGGAGTGGAGTGGAGACACTGTGATAAAAATGGAACTTGAAGGTCTTATGGAACTGATAAGCTGCCTAATTGCTACCCTGAGCCAACGATCTGTCACTTTTTGACAAAATGCTATCCTTTGGGTGAACTTTGCTCATTATAATGTCATTATAATACCAGAACACACCTCCATCCCAAAAGCCACCCACCTCCAAGGTGCGACCACCCCTCACGGAGTCTGCGCTCTGAATTTTTCCTAGTCTATACCTTTAAAAGCGAAGCAAGAAAATTTTACACCAATCATAACAAAAGTATGTATGACTAGAGTCCCTCAAGCTCCACCTGAAAGGTAAAAAATAGTATAAAAATAGCTTAAGAGAGGAGGGATGTCAGGGAAGATACCAACGCGGTCAGGGAAATACCATCGCTGACCACCCCTGACTTCTGGGACCAGTCGACGGGCTGCATCTCTCTTCCCCCCCATAAGGATGCTTGTAGGTAAGATTCGAATACTTGGCTATACCAAGTGCTTCCCCAGGAAACTTAGAAATCTCTACAGAGTTGTTTTATGACTTAACGCATTTATAGCCAGGCTGTATTACTAACATTCTTAGTATTTCAACATGCTTTGCAGACAGTGACATTATCATTCGCAATGCGATAGAACTTGTCCATCTGTTGCCCTTTAACACAACACTTGGGTACCAAAGTCAGTCATCTCCTCCCATTTTAGGTGTATATTAGAAAAATGTTCAAATTCAACTACTGGGAATTTTTGTGGTTTGGGTTTTTTTTAAACTACATGAAAGTTGATAGCACAGTGTTTCTGCAATGTTTGTACTTGGTAATTACCAAGTGTTTCTTCAGTCATTTAAAGGAAAAATCAATATGTTATTTGACCTGTCACATCAGTAGCAAGCAAAGCCTGCAAAAACACTCATTTTAATAGTCATTGCTATTATATGTAGAAGGCTTCCACCTACTCAAAGGCAATGGAAACATTTCAGTTACCTTGAGTGCTAAAAGGCTCTTGTTAATTTCCGCACCTTCCAGTCGTGTCTGCCTGTCTGCACTGGAAGTATCCGCTCCTCTTTCATTGCCAGCCAAATCAATCAGAGAAAATTTACCATGCAATTTCCCTTTCCTTCTGAGAATAATCTGAAACACTGCATGGCTTCGAGATGAGTGTGCATTTGCAGATGTCTGGCCAGATGTCCTTTAACAAAAGGAAAGAAAGGAAGGACATATGAGCAGGCGAAGGACCATACATGTTAAACGCACTACCGTCAGAACATTAGATTTTTCAGGGCAGAGTCCTGTATTTACCCTAATAATTTGATGTACATAGTATAATTATACCTATTTTTCCAATTCTTCAAACAAAAATGGAAGATTAGTAACATTTTACTTCCCTCTTAAAAGCAAGAATAATCAGACCTCCAAAGATGTTAGGCTATCAGAGAGCTTACATGTAAAATGCCACATGTGGTATTTTTATCTGATCAGGCAGCAGTCTATTCACAAGGCTAATTTTAAAAACAATAAAACTGGATCTAAACAAAAAATAAAAATTTTATACTTAACTTCTGTCACTACATATCAAGGCCTTTTAGAACTGAAGAATCTGGCAGTATTCCAGATTATAAATGATGCGAATTTAAATCAGTAAACTGGTTATATAATGCATGCAATTCACATCCTGTAGAAAAATCAGTTTATATTTCTCTCTAGGAGAGAAACTCTAAGCTATTTTTATTCAAAAGATAGGCAGATTCCTTACCTGCAGCCAACATTATCAAAAATACCACTGCATATTAAAAAGCCATCACTATGAAGAGACACACAAAAAAAATCTTGTTCCAATTCTTTAATTTACAATGAAAAATTGGTGGAAGCCATGGGAGATACCTGCAGCTGTTGCCCATTTCAATAAGCTTAAGAACATCTTCAACACATTTGACTTCCCGTTCCTGTAATCCCACCACCTGGACTTGCTGTTTACCATCTTCTAACACTCTTAGTTTTGTCTTCCTGTTCAACAAGTCAAAAACCTGAGGGTTGGAACAGAACAGTTAAAGAGGAGCTTTAAAAGACATTTTTGCTTTAAATCTTGTATCAAAATATGCAAAGCATTCCATGAACAAATGTGATTGGAAGTGTAAAGAATTAATTGAAATAAAGCTTTCAGTACAAAAAGGAAAAAGATCTTTTATGTGACAAGCTCATGATCTTGTTTGTGAAAGAGAAATTCCACTTTCCTCAGAAAAAGATCTGGTACTTACCTTACCACTGTAGATCTCAAAAAATGTTGCATATACTTGAAGTTCTAACTTCTTATAGTTTGGTTTCTTTAGCATTAAAAAGACATCTCGAGCTGTGAATACATTTCCAAAATAAAAAGAAATCTAGTTATATAATTTCATTTAGTGAAGACTCATTAATGCATAACAGTCTATTTTACAGCATCTCTCATATTTTGCAAGAGTAACATAGGGTCAGTCAATCAAGTAAAAAACACTGCAGTTTAAACTGCCCCATTACATTGGAAGATGCAGAAGACGCCAAAATTGTAAACTCAGTTAATCATCAGTTATATTTCTTACGTTTTCAAAGTTATCTATATATATATTTCCTTTACTGTGTAAAGACTACACACCTAGGAACTACTTTTTTATGTTACCAAAGCTCCATTGTAATCCAAAATATGTAGACCCTTATGTTTGTACAACAGGGAGTAGAAATGTATTAACCTCAACTAATTTGCAAAAATCCAACAGAACAATAAAGTCTCACCTGCAAGTGCATATATTCCTTTAGAACAATCTTGGTTCTTTCCTGAAAAGTCACCACCCATAGTCTAAATTAAAAAAAAAAAAAAAAAAGACCAAAAATACACTATAAAGATCACAGAACTGTAACTTACATATTTGTTACTTATTAGAATTTATTGAAGTATATCGTAAATAAAAAGAAGTGTATTGTTGACATGTAGAAGAAATACTTACATGGGTTTTTCCACTGCCTGTTTGTCCATATGCAAAACAAGTGGCCATTCCCCTTTCAAATATGGTCTCCACTAATGGTCTAGCTGTAAATCTTAAATGCGAAAAACAACAGTACTTAAGAATCGCAATTACTTTAAGATGCCACACTAACACAAGGACACTATAAATTTTAAGTCCAGAAGTAACAAAACTGGTTCTGTACTTTGAGAGGCCAAAGGACATCTCCAGATTAATTCCTGAACTAAAGAGGCTACCAGTTCTAAGGCATTAAAATATCCTAAACAGTTAAAAAAAAGCTACAAGGTGTCCCCCATTTATTTTACAACAATATTATCCTCCTTCCAACCCTGAGAAAAAAAAAGTCTTTGTTTTAATGATGCAACATGGCACAGCTTACTACATGGAGTTTGGAATTTCCTAAATAAGACAGCATTAGAAAATACAGAAGTAGGACAGTGAAGCAGATAAATACTTAGATTTTGCCAATACAAAAATACTGCTATAGTTTTGTTTTTGATTTTTTTTCCCTGAATCATTTTTCAAGATTAAGTTTAGAAGACAGGTGGCCAAAACAACATTGCACGTCCTAATATTTTGAGAACATACAAGTTATGCTGAGAAAAGGCTCAAGAAAACACATACCCAAGCTCATCAGAATGGAAAAATCCAGTTATCCCTTAAGTATTATTTGATGTGTCAAAAATATTCTCCAAAGTATCATTTTTCTATTTTAGAGAATTAATTTTTACTTTAAAAAATGTAGAGTTATTGCTCCTACTTCAGCTGCTTATCACCATTACTTCATTAAAAACTCCAAAAGAAAAGGGTAACCTTATGGAGCGTTGCCTCCACAAGGTGATGGAGATAAAAGTCTCTCTGCAACAGTCTCTCTTTCTAAACTTTTACCAGGTGTTTACACATAATGTATGTTTAGTGACAGAAGCAAGAACAATTGTTTACAGAAACACTGAGGTGTTACAACCTCCTTTAGTTCCACTTTGGAACAAACACAAGATCACTTACAAAAATAATATGGGTAAGACCGAGCCATTCAGCAACCAAGGGTTATGCAAAAATCTAAGTTTAACTGAATCATCAATTTTTATCAAAAATAAACCATATGATTCCTGATCAGCCTTAGTTTTTCTTTTTTGCTTTCTCCAAACATGTACTTCTTTTGTCCTCAAGAGGATATTCCCATATTTCAATGTTTGTTCTTTTTATATTTACAATATAAATTTCAAGAAACCTATCCACCTAAGAAGCACATTCCATTATCTCTGTCTGAGTTTGAGATTATTTATTTTGCTGATTTATAAAAAAGTGACTCAACTATATGTAATTTAAAATAAGACAAAATACAAAAATATCTAGAAAAGTTTTTGTAAAGCATTAAACAAGTCCAAATGGTACCACACCAAAACAGTCCAACTTTCCTTCTAGTAGAACCTTTATTTGCAATCTTGGTCCTTAAGAAATATAAACTCTGATTCTCCTTTAAAATTCAAAAGGCATACCCATTCACACTAGTATATGTTTTTTTAATACTAAAGAAAACTTGTAACTCAGTGTTGTGCTTCATGGATTCAAAAATACAGCTTAAGCAAAATAATAATAAAAAAATAAGAGTAGTACATTTCTCAAGAATGTTTTTCAGTACAGAAATATAGTAACTAATTTTAGCATACTGAAGAAGACGGGAGTAACTTGTCATACTTTTTTTTCCCCCACTGTGACCCTGATAGATCTGGTGAGAGCAGATGATGATACCTATCTTCCTCTTAATTGTGTTATTACAGGAGGCCTTGAAGCAGATTATCCTCCATGTAATAATCATTATTGTGCCATGAGGGAGAAGGAAAAAGCCTGTACTGCTACACAGACTAGAGTTTTACTGTTTCAGTATGAATACAAGCATCTTTCAACATTTTCCCATATTACTATTAATTTATTATGTAACTAATAAAAATTGTCCAGAAGAAACTCAGTCCAAAAACATAACAAAATTGTATGTCAAAACCAGCCCTCACATTTAAACACTATGCTCACAAAGACAAATAATAGGAAGGAGGGAGATTACAAGAACTGGTTGTTAAGCAGGAGGAAAACTATTGCAAGAGGCACATCTCACCAGCTAGATCACTCTCCCACAGCTCTTCAGTATCAAGAAAGAAAAGATGTTACCAGTAGACAATCATTACAGACAGAAATTTCCAAGGGCACAGCTTTGCTGTTCAGAAGTCTTTCATTAGTGTAAACTAACAGACTAAAAAGATTTTACTTTTGCTACCCTTCTTCTCTTACTTATATGAAACATGACTCAAATTTTCATTTTCAAGGCCTTTTAATTCTTTTACTATGAATTTTCTCTTATTCACTGAGAGGGTGTTAGTGTCTAACATCAATCAGGATATGATACCAACTTTCACTTCCTAGTTGTTGGATTAAAAACAAGAATTAAGATATTTCTCTGTCACTTCTCCTTAAGGCTATGGGAAGCACTTTCGAAGCATAAGAAAAATTATCTTCATCAAATTCCTTTTTAATATCAATATTCCTTGCGTAAATCATCATAATATTTACACTGCGTACCAAGATAATGACCTGTCATGGTGTCTAACCTTACCTGCTACTTTATCTAATCCATTTAGCGACTTGTACAAGGTAAACAGCTACTTCTAAACAAATTTTTAAAAGCACTATGTGCATCATTCTGTTCCAAATGTAGAAGTGAAACAGAAGAATAAAGGAGAAAATGGAGATCCAAATACCTTGGGGCTGAGGGTGTGTGTCCTTGTTGCTGTTGATTTTTAAATCAGAAAGATTCAGTGTTTTGAGCAAGATAAATTAGCTCTGTGTACCTCCATGTCACATCAGCTAGATTGCTTCCAACAGCCAAACTAGCTCAGGTATCTCAGCAATAGAGCAAATATAACCTCCCCCCCCCTTTGTACTCTTACCCCACCCTCTCCTGATTTGTTTGCCTCCTGAGGAGGCAATACACACTAGAGCCTGGAAAGGCAGGGCTTGGAGGAGGACTGAGAGCAGGACTGAGGTAAACAGAAGCGGAGATTGCAGATGAAAAATTCAGGATAAACAGAGCTAAACCAAAATTAAACAGGCAAAAGAATGGAAGTAACAATATACATATCTGATAACACAGAGAATAGAAGTCCATGAACAAGGTAAGCCCACAGTTATTGACATGGGAGATACTTGAGAAAAAAGATTCACAAAAAAAGAGCATATACACATACCTGTAAACCATTTCATTAGGAGCCGTGTCATCAAAGGCATAATCAAAACGAAAAGTTTGGTTTTCTAGGTACCTTGTTAAATCCACCTTTTGTTTTGGTTCATGTACCATCACAACGTCTTTACTAGGAATTGTTATTACATCAAGGTCTTTCATTAAAGTTTCTATAAAATAAATGAAATATATATTTAAGTAGCAACACATCGCTATTTTTTACATTTTTTCCTTGTTTACACTCTTATAAAATCTCAGATAACACAGCTCCTCCAAGTAACAACACTGCAATGGACTTGTGCTTCTGATACTTAGATAGTAATCTGCTAAGTAAGAGATTTCATTTTGGAAGTCTAGTCATCCTATCCTACCAAGTGCTAGAAAGTAAAGAGAGGTTGTACAAAGTTGATTAGAAAAACTATGCTCATTAATGATAGCACTATCGCTTTAAAATTTTGTCATTTTATTTTCCCTAAATCCTTAAAGTTATATTTATATGTTCACAGCTTTCAAAAAGAAAAAAATTGTTTTCATTCTACACAGACATTCTGGTTCTTAAT